CCATGAGCTGGCACCAACTCAAAGGCTACTAATAACAACAATTCCCAAGATGAGGATAAGAGATTTTGTTTTATTATAAGGATGTTTTTATTGAGTTAGAGAATTATTTACTTTTTTGTTTGTTTTGTTTTCATGTTGTATGTTGCATCTCTCTCCAGATGTTCTGGAAGCTAAGTCTCTTGGGTTTTCTGATCAAACATTCTTCAATAGGGTATAGAAGTGTGTCTTTGCTATTCTAAAGCCCACTCACTTGTTCTTAAGAAAACAGGCAAGTAAAGATATTTGACATGATGAAATGTGGACATCAGGAGAGATGTACATGTGCAACGCGAGCAGGTTTCCTGTAGGGCTGCAAACCATATGAATCAGGTTTTGGAGGCCTGATAAATGTTCCTCTTATCTTTACCTCTGCAGATATGGTAACTATAGTAATTGCATTCTCAGAAAATCCGCTCAAAAACCCGACTTTCTGAAGCGATGTTTTGGCTTTGAATAGCACCTTTTACCACCCCTGTGTGCAGACTTGTATTAGAAAATTGATTCGGCACTGTTGCGATCCATTTCTCTAAGTTACTTAGCAAATCTGCTTGTCGCACCATTTAAATCGACCCCTTTACCATCATAAAATTTGATACCACAGTGCACCGCCCTAGGAAAAAAAGGCAATATGATGCAGCTTCAAAAATCAGATTCAGGGGATTAGACTGCCATTTTTGATTGTAAATGACTTCCAGTCTCCGTGTGACGGGCATACTGCTTTCTCCTTAGGCCTGTGTCGCTATTGTACCACATGGAGATCAACCAGTAAATATGATCACAGACTGGGTTAGGGTTCCTCTTTCCTAGTTCAATTTCATAGTCTTCATCTTTGTAATAAATCTAGCGATGATGTAACTGAATAAGAGGCAGTGGAGAACTTCAAGGGCAAAACACAGCTGCAGAGTAGGTGGTGGCATAGCTGTCAGGGGGTTCATATTTTATGTCCTTGCCACTGATAATAGTAAAGAGAAAGAGGAAATATTTGTATACTTACTGAGCTGATCAAGTCTTCAGGGAAAAATTAAGGCAGTGGATTAATGCCGATATGTGAATATCAAATGAACAGGGGGTTTGGCATGTCCTTGTCCAAATAAAGTCTGTCAGATGGATTTAACCCTATTTTGTTTTCTTATTTAGATCAGCACATGGCAGAGATGGTTCTGCTTGTAGAACAGTTTCTCACCTCGGTGCTGTTGGCATTTGAGGCGGGATCATTCTTTGCCGTGGGGGGCTGAGCTGCCCTGTGCCTTGTAGGCATTGTCCTGTATATAGAGCGGCATCCCTGGCCTCTGCTCACTAGATGCCAGCAGTGTCCCTTCCTATTTGTGACAACCAGAAATGTCTCCAGACATTGCCAGATGTCCCCTGGGGGACACAACTGCCCCCAGTTGAGAACCACTGTTGTATAGCATTCTTTGATCACTAGGTTTTTGGTCCTAGTTAAAAGTCTTATTTTTAGAAGAAGCCACGTTCTGTTGCTATGGTAATAGCATTACAACCAGCGGATGAGACATTTGTCAGAGGCCCTGGAG